TTGGCCACGTTGCCTACTCCTCCGCATGGTGCACACATGTTCGTAGCCTTGACCCGTCCGAGATGATCCCTTCGTACGCCCAACGTAATGGTTGGTGAAGTAGTACGCCCCGCGTACCAGGATATTACGCCCAACGTAATTCGAGGCATCAGCCACTATAAATAGAACCCAAGGCCATCCGAATTTTGTTTACAAATTTACATCCTTTCACCTTATACTTTCTTTTAAGATGCAATAAATACCCCAAGCCTAGAGTACCATCCTAGCATCATTAGAAAGCCCCGAAGAGCCCAAAGACCCCGAGAAAAAGAGTTTTCGAGTCGAAACTCTGCCCGCGTGAAGCCCGGTTTTTGAGAAAACATCTCGGTTTCATCAAAAAAGATTGTTTTAAGAGACGAAGTGATGTCCAATCATCGTTAAATCAAGTGAGTGTGTAGTCACTTTCATCTTACACATAAATATGAAGTAATTTCTATAAAATATCCTACACATAAATAGGAAGTAATTTCTATAAAATATGTGCTATGTGTATAAATATTGTTTGTTTATTTGAGATGAATATTGAATGGGGTTTTTATACATGTTTAGAATGATTTAAACTGTATATGTATTTTTTTTATCTACAAATATGTTGGGTATAATATGGATAGATGAAATAGTTGATGTGTGTTAAAATGATGAGAGACCTCGATGTTGTTGTTGTTCCAGTCATCTAGCGGAGTGTAGATGACGACCACAGACCTTTCTAGACAGTCCAGTGGAACGCTAGCAGACTCGCAACATGTAGGTGTTTTTGAACTAAGTGTTCACCAGATGTACTCCATCCCCCACATGGTTGCCTTATGAACATATATGACTGAGGAATCCCCTTAGCAGTATAGTCCATCCCGATGATGATCCTTAGGCTAGATCCCTTATGATAGGTGTTTAGGGACATAAAGTGAGGATAACGGGAACGGGTAATCATGATTATTGTTGGTTGATGAAATTAATAAATTTATTGTTGGTTGATGAAATTAATAAATTTATTATTATTTGTGGGTTGAAAACCCTATATGCTCACCAGGCTACCAAGCCTGACTCACTCAACTTTTTATATTACAGGTAGTGGAACAAGAGCATAATTGGATGGTGACGAGGGATTTTGGAATATAGGCCAGTAGATGTAAATAAATGTTGTAAGGCCTATATCGTACTGTTTATGATTTTGGTCTGTATCAGAACATGACATCCCGAGGTTTTGTAATATAATGAAAATACATTTATTTAAGAAATGCTTTGATAAATTTTTATCATACTTTGTTTTGGGGACAAATTCTGCAACACCTTTTGAAAGATTACTCTGATTTTATTTTAAAAGCATAAACGAAATCGGTCTTTTCTGGCCGTGAAAATGGGGATGTCACAGTCTGGTCATCTGCCGGAGTAAGATGACAACCATAGACAAATCGTCTTAACGCTAGCAGAATTATAATGTTAACGAGTTATACCGATCCAAGGAAAATGATTGTATGTTCATTCAAGTACTCATCCCTCAATGGTTGCCTTTATTGACTTACGCCTACTGCTAAGGAATCTTTGAAGTAGTATAGTTAACTCGTTGCTTGTAGTGATCCGTCATGATAGATCTTATAAGATCACTGTTATTGGATTAGTATGTGAGGGTCGAAGGGATGAGTAACTAAGGGTAGAATGTGTTATATATATATATATATATATATATATATATATATAATTTAATAAGAGTTGGTTTTGCATGGTTAATACATATAACTTATTATCATTATGGGATTGAAAACCCTATATGTCTCACCGGGTTTTCTAAAACCCGACCAACTCAAACTATATGCATCACATGTATCGATGTTAAGGTTGCTGAAGCTTGAGTAAGATGCTGAGTGATTTAAAGAGACAACCTGCAATAGTATTCAAGACCGTTAGGTCTTTACGCTGTAATTTATGTTGTGTATTAATTATGACATCTTTAGGTTTTTTATATTTTAAAACAACATCTGTATTCAAGATATTTTAATAAAATGAGACAGTTTCCACAAATTGTTTTAATATACAGGGATTTTCCGCAAACAAAGATCATATGTTTTAAAACCGTAAAAAAAAATTGTTACAAAAAATAGGGGATGCCACAACATTTTTATTTTGAACAACGAGAAATATATTTGTGATTCATGCAACAATTGATTCGTCAAACCTATAGGAAGACAAATCAAATTTTGGAAAATTGGTATATGGGCATTTATTGAGAAACTCTAATAGACCTAAAAAATTGATATACAAAATGACTTTAGATTGTCCGATCAAGATTCAGTTAAAGAACCTATAGGAGGTGTTGTAGTAATCTATTCCATGGAGACGAGGTGTGTTACTGAGATGGTAGCTAGGAAGTGAATGTGTATCCCTTCAGGGGCGGACGCAGGATTTCACAGTAGGGGTTGCACGATAATAGAAAAAATAAAAATTTTAAAAATTTTCGAAAATTTTCCACTACGGCCGGGAAAGTCAGGGATTGCCGGTGCCACCGGTGACCCTCCCTAAATCCGCCCCTGTATCCCTTGTGGATTCTCAAAAGTGGGGGTAGGGTCTGCATGAGAAATGGGGATGAGAAGGGATATCTCCAGAAAATTCCCAATATTTTGGGCAAATTTTTAATAAAGTCCTAAATTTTATTTTTTGAATAAAAAAGTCCTGACATTTTCACATTTTGAATAAAAAAGCCCAAGAAACCGGCTAATTTATTCACTTTAGCCATTTTGACCTGTTCAACAGGTCATGGGACCAAATTGTTAATTTTTCGAAAATAATGAGACTTTTTTGCAGATTTCGTCAAAATTTTTATATAATGTATAAACATATTTTTTACATATCTATATCTATTTTTACGTATTTGTGTATTTTTTATGTTTTTATATGTATATATTTACGTATTTTTATGTATTTTAAATATATAAACATATTTTTTACTTATTTATATGTATTTTTAACCATTTTACATATTTTTTTTATGTATTTTTATGTGTTTTTTTATATATTATGTATTTATATGCAATTCTATGTATTTTTACGTATTTATGTACTTTTTAAAGCTTTTTATATAGATGTTTATGTATTTTAAATGTATAAACGTATTTTTTACGTATTTATATCTATTTTTAAGTATTTTACATATTTTTTATGCATTTTTGGGATGTTTCAACGTTTATACATAAATACGTAATACATAAAAAAAATACGTTTATACACTTAAAATACATAAACATCTATATAAAAAGCTTAAAAAATACATAAATACGTAAAAATATATAAAAATACATAATACATAAAAAATAACACATAAAAATACATAAAAAAAATATGTAAAATGGTTAAAAATATATATAAATAAGTAAAAAAAAATACGTTTATACATTTAAAATACATAAAAATACGTAAATATATACATATAAAAACATAAAAAATACAAAAATACGTAAAAATAGATATAGATATGTAAAGAATATGTTTATACATTATATAAAAATTTTGACGAAATCTGCAAAAAAATCCAATTATTTTCGAAAAATTAACAATTTGGTCTCATGACCTGCTGAACAGGTCAAAAAGGGCTAAAGTGAATAAATTAGCCGGTTTCTTGGGCTTTTTTATTCAAAATATGAAAATGTCAGGACTTTTTTATTCAAAAAATAAAATTTAGGACTTTATTAAAAATTTGCCCAAAATATTGGGACTTTTCTGGAGATATCCCGGATGAAATGAGTATTAGGTGGCTCTGTATGTTTTTTAAATTATAAATTATAAATTAAATAAAAAATATATGAAACTAATGACTTATAAAAGTAATAAACCTTACTCTTGTACACATTTAGTTATAAGTTACTTATGTTTTTCTGCACATGTTTAATCGCTTATGTTTTTTATACACATATGATCAATTTTTTTTAATTAAATATGTACATGAAATAAAACTTATTACCCATATAAATCATTACCACTAAAATGATACCACACAAACCTTCTAAGTAACAAACGACAAACTTAGAAACCATATAATTAGAAAAAGTAAAGGCAAAATTTCATATACACACCTGCTAAGCATCTAAATATCGTATTTGTCTGACCTAAACTTTAAATTTCGTATTTGCCATTCCTAATGGCTTTTTATATCTTATATACCCAAATCTATTTTTTTGTTAATTTTTATTGATTTATAATTCTTTTTTATTATCTTAATTCATTATAATTCAAAATAAACATGTAAAGGACAATAATGCCCTTACTTGTAAACTCCAAATACTACCGATTGTAATCCTGCATTCCTATTTCACGTTCACGTTGGAGCTGTTCATTCCGATCGCTAGTCCCTTGTTAGTACTTCCCATCAATTGCGCCTTCCCCTATTATTGCATCACTTCCACACATCAGGTAAACAAAAATGATCATATTCCTATTTTGCCTTTCTTTAATTTTGTTTATGATGTTGTTTGATTTGTTCACGATTTTGGAAATTGGTAAACGATTTTGAAACCCTCATAACCTATTTACCCAAATAAAACGCAATCAAGAAGGAACGCGCTAGGAAAATCACATTATCCAGAGATCCAACGGGCAGAAATCAGTGAATTTTGATCTTTAAACTTGATAACACCAAAAAGAATCACTTCTCAGTTGCAATCAAGGAAAATAAATATCACAATTATGTGGTTTTTATTGATTTGACATCTCAAAATTTAATTTCTTAGTGGGACTATGTTCCTGCTGAAAAAGAGACAATTCTAATTAAATAATTGAGAGCTTATAATTTCCTACACGACAAACTAGTCTTCCATGAAGTGGGAGGCTGCAAAACACATTAATGAGCCTTTTCCACAACCTCTACTAGATATTATCCAAACAGACAATTCTATTCAAATAATTGATCCCAGACTTATTATTTCTTATCCCAAAATCATCCAGGACACACAAATGAATGAGCACTTTTCCCAAATATGTTGTTCTTGTCCAGTTTATTATTCTTACTTTTTACAATTTCTGCTGCAGTAGACACCATAACCACAGATAAAGTAATAAGAGACAATGATACACTTGTTTCAACTGGTGAAATGTATGATTTTGGCTTTTTTACCCCGGTAACTCCAAATATCGATACTTGGGGATATGGTATAAAAAGGTTTTTCCTCAGACAGTTGTATGGGTTGCTAACAGAGAGACTCCACTTACAGATACCACCGGTGTGCTCAGAGTCAATAGCATGGGAGTACTACTGCTTCTCAATGGTAATAATACCTTGATTTGGTCGTCAAATTCCTCATTATCTGTCACTAATATTAATATAGTTGCAAAGCTTCTAGATTCAGGAAACCTTTTTGTGCATGATAATATGAACAGTAGCACAGACCAAGATACTATCTGGCAAAATTTTGATTACCCTACTGACACCTTGCTATCTGGAATGAAATTTGGGAAGGATTTTATCACAATGAGAAACAGATGCTTGACATCTTGGAAGAGTCTAGATGATCCTTCTCCATGTCTGTATGTAAGTTATTGGGATACAAATGGATATCCACAAGCATTTTAGTTGAAAAAGTATATGCAACAAACGTTTATGAAGGATGTGCATACTAAGGATGTGCATACTGAACTTATTCAACACAGACGTTTATGGATTCTAAAACGTGGAATTATCAAAGGCAATCTTACTGTGGATTTAAACACACAACGTCCCGTGAGACATGAAGCGTGAAGCGAGTCTTCAAGAAATAGCATTGTACTTTGAGAAATCGATGATATATAACATTGAACTTTCAAAATTTTGTAATAGTTAATTACAATAGCTGTATTTTTTATCTTTGTATGTTTTAATTGTAATATATACAATTTTGGTCCTTAAAGCATATATTTGACATTAATTACAAGTGTGATATCTGTTGTTTTAAATTTGGCACTTGTTACATTTTGGCCATTGGATTTTAAATTTGCACTTATTACTGTTTGGTCCTTGGACTTTAAAGTTACACTTATTACAGTTTGACCCCTGGACTTTAAATTTGCACTTATTACTGTTTGGTCCCTGGACTTTAAAGTTACACTTATTACAGTTTGGCCCCTGGACTTTAAATTCGCACTTATTACTGTTTGGTCCCTGGACTTTAAAGTTACACTTATTACAGTTTGGCCCCTGGACTTTAAATTTGCACTTTTTACTGTTTGGTCCCTGGACTTTAAAGTTACACTTATTATAGTTTGGCCTCTGGACTTTAAATTTGCACTTATTACTGTTTGGTCCCTGGACTTTAAAGTTACACTTATTACAGTTTGGCCCCTGGACTTTAAATTTGCACTTATTACTGTTTGGTCTCTGGACTTTAAATTTACACATATCACACCACATATACCAAATGCAAATCCATTAAAGAAAAACTATACTAAAATGTTTATTTATGTCACATACTAACAAAAGAATCCATCAATTGAATCCTAATTAAGAAAATTTGCAACTAAAGCTAACAAACTTGTCAAAAGGATCAACTGATTCACGCTTTTTTCATGTAGACCCCGAAACTCCCAAATCACTCTGCGATTTTGTATTCTTTTCACGTCTCCTAAAATTAATAAACAAATTATTTTCATTGTTAGTATTTTTGTCGTTTAGTGAAAAAAAATTGAAATTTGAGTAACCTTTTAGATGTGGATGTTTCACTTCCATCAGAATTTTGAGATGCTGGATTTTTACATGTCTTTTCACGGTGTCCACACTCTCCGCATCGCGGACACTTGTGTCTTCTTTTAGACTCATCTGATGATTTAATTCTATTTTTTCTTGGTCGTCCCGGGGGGCGTTTGATAAGAGGTGGATATATTTTCTCCTCATTTTTTTGCGCCCATTGATCCTGTCCGGACATTGGAGCAATTTGAAAAGCATATGCAGCTTTAAAGTTCTCTATATTAAAATAGGGATCAACATATTTGTCCCAGTTAGCATCCCTTATAAAAGCAATAAAATCTGCTGCATGTACACATGGTCGGCCCTGAACTTGCCACACCCGACAACTACACTTTCTTTCATCTAGGTTGACCTCCCAACGTGTTCCCTTATACTTCACTTCAGCTTGATTGTCACAACTTATAGTAACTTCATATCCACCCAAGTTCTACATGAAAAGTTATATATATATATATATATATATATATATATATATATATATATATATATATATATATATTAAAGTAAAAAGTAAAATAAATATAGTCAATCAACTGAATTATTTTACATGATTACCTTAGCGATGTCATTGAGATGGTTTTTAGCAATAGGAACTAATGTGCCATTCCATATATTCACCAAATTTCTTTTCTTATCAAACTGTTTCATAATCTTTTCCCTAATTGCAGCAAGGAGATCAAGCACGGGTTTATAGCGCAACTTACCAATCCAAGAATTAAATGTTTAAGAAATATTATTAGTGATGTAATTACACTTGGAAGTAGTACCAAACTTGCTTCTACTCCATATTTTTTTTTGTTGGTATTTAGATATGCAATGAAATCTTCATTTTTATCACTAGTTTCCTTCAATAATCTGTCATGCTTTGTAGGACGATAGGTTTTCGTGGCAGCCCATAGTTTCTTGTTAATGAAGTCACCACAAAAGTGTTTCTTGAAGTTTCTATATAAGTGCCTTATACATTCTCTATGCTCAACATTAGGATAAACATTCATCATGGCTACTTCTAACCCTTTTTGCATGTCTGACGAGATAATAAGACCATTTGGCGTTCCAATTGCTTTTTTGAGCGAGTCAAGAAACCATGTCCATAATTGTGTGTTTTCTGATTCAAGCACATAATATGCTATTGGAAAGATAGAATTGGTACCGTCAATACCAGTTGAAGCGGCTAGTACACCATTGAACTTTCCTTTTAAATGACAAGCATCAAGACCAATATACGGACGACAACCAACAACAAACCCTCTAGGACAAGCTACTAAACAAATAAAAAACCTTTTGAAAAGTTTCTTTCCACCAACTATGTCAAAGTCAATTTTAACAATGCTTCCTTCGTTCCTTCGTAATAGTTCTTCTCTAAATTCATCCATCTTCATGAAAGAGTCTTCCCACTTACCATACATGTCGGTATAAGCTTGCTCTTTCCCTCTAAAAACTTTTAGGTATGGCACATCAACATTGTAAGTATTCATAATCCAATTTCTAAGCTTATATGGAGAGACATCATCAGATTTCAACTTGTCAGTAACTACATTAGCAATCCATCCTTGAGTGGCACACTTATTGCCACCCTTGTTGCTTTGAGTGCAAGAATGCACTTCTACCATTTTATTAACCTAAAAAAGAATTAAATAAACATAAATATATTTTTAATATAAAGCATGTTAAATATAACTTAAGGTATACACTTACTTCAAAGGTAACTTCATCTTGTGTAATAGAAGCATGAATTCTCCACTCGCACTCTAGGTTTTCACACCTTGCTATGAATCGTGTCGGGTCACTTTTCTGAATGTAGTAGTTAAACTCATTTATGACTGCAAAGTGGTTCAAAGCTCTCCTAAAATCAACCACATTTTCAAATTTTGAGCCGACTTTCATGCTTATACTATTCTTACTAAATGAGTGAACTTCACCATCATCATTCATTAGATTGTCTTCATTATCAGAATTGAGATGACTATGATAGCTTTCTTCACTAAGAAAAATGTCTACATCATACTCATCGTGTGGTTCATCTCTGTTGGCACACAAATGGTTAGTATGGTTACTGGAGCTGAGGTTATTCTCTGTTGTCACATAAATGGTTACTTGTTTCTCGTTTCCATACATGCTAAGCATAGTCATGAACTTTTCATCAGAATCAAGCTCAATAAATGATTTGCCTGGTGCATACTTGTCAACATAAAGAATATAAAACTTTGGGTTGTTATTTGATGAATAACGCCTTGTCACTTCTTCATGTAGTTGACTTAACTTGTATAAACATGTGTCAATGTGGATACATTTTTGAGAGCCAAAGCAATATATTTGCCTACAACTATTCTTTGTTAGCCGAAAGTAATCCCCATATTTCAATTTTAACTTGAACTTGGATGTTGGTATACACCTGAAATTGAATATTATTGTCACACCCCAAAACCAGAATGACGGAAACGTTCTGGGGTGGAGGACGTCATGTGTAGCATTACAACCAATGAATAATAGCAATCATAGCAACTCAACCATTGCAGTGAATACTTAAATAAAAACGTTTACATCAGTTGAAACTTTGTCTGAAACTTGTTTGAATTACATCAAATAGCTTTGTAAAGTATAATTATAAAACTCTTATTGCTTCAGTTCCTCAAAAATCCAGCAAGTACCTGTCTACTGATTTCCTGAGAATACAAGCAGTTTGAAAGAATATCAGCATAAAGCTGGTGAGTCCATAAGCGGTAGTTTGTAATGAAAACTTGTTGATGAGCTCGTAACAGTGTTTGTATAGTTTCAAGAAAATCCGATATTTTCTTTAGTGAAAATGTAGTGTTTTCAATTCTGTATAAAACCATGAATGTTCGTTACTGAAAACTATAGTGATATGCGAAAATAATGCTTCATGTGACTAGCTAATGCTAATCATGATGCATAAGTATTTCGTACGTGAAACCATTGTATGATCGATCCTGTTTGAAAACCCTGGAAATTCTCCAGTTGTAGTGTGTATTAGTTCTATTTAGTAAAATAAAACTGTTGAAGGATGACGGTTTGTAAACCACGAGTGATTTATACATATTGTGAGTCGTATAACCATACTTGATATGACTAGAGACCTTTCCAACGTTCTTCAAGCGTCGAGTTAAATGACATTTGTCACCCTAGGCATGCCTACCCAACTGTAGCTAGCAGTTCGGGTGTGGGATTGTCAGTCTCGAATAGATCTATTCACAAATCTCACGCTCTCCCTCCAGGAGACTCTGGTTATACTATGATAGGATTTATCCCCGTACACCTAAGGGTACAGTATTGAAGTAGCGCCTCACAGTATCGTACAATCTAGTTTACATGTAGTGTAGTAGCGTTCTACCATAGTGAAAATCCGTATGTATACCGTATGAAGAGATAATTACAGTTATGAATACCATGATGAAGTAGTGATGTAAACTGTAAACAGTTTCTGTCTTAGTGCATATGTTTAGTAGTGAAAGTTTCTGTACTTGTTATGTTTAGAAAATCCCAAACTATACCGATTATAGTTTGCATGTATAACGTAGTGAAATATCGAGTCCGGAAAACTATGTAATTTTAGTGAAAACGTCCCTTATGCTCAACACAGTACAAAAGGGTTAAAGTATGAGAATTGCATGAGTTTTGAAAACATTTATGTTTAGCTTGTATTCCCCCTGAAAACATTAAAAATACAGAAAATGTAGGGGTATGAACTCACAGTTTGACGTAAGACTCGAGTGTAAGGTCGGTGTGGATGCTGAGTGTCAACTGATGTTTCGTACGCAAGTGGATCCTATTAACATATGTAACACATATATGCATTAGATGAGGACATAACACTATTTGTCATGGAAGGAAACCACCTTAGGGACTAGGAAACACTTGAAACTAAGTGTTAGAATCACACGTGATTGAAGATGGGGAGTTTGCGGCCGTAATCAGGAGTGTACGATCAGGGGTTTGCGGCCCAACAGGGTTTACGGCCCACGAGTTTGCGGCCCAAGTGTTTGCGGTCCATGGGTTTATGGCCCATGGGTTTACGGCCTGTGGGTTTACGGCCCATGAGTTTTCGGCCGTAAACACTTGGTGAAAGGTGCGATTTTCGGTGTTTCAAGGTCCTTTCTAGCCTCTTGGAAGTGTTCTAAGCCTTGTGCCCAGCTCAAGGAAGAGTTTAAAGGCCAATAATCGACCAAAAATGGAGTTTACGGCCATTGAAGGGATTACGGCCGTAAACCCATTTCGTGTTCGTGATTTCAGGTCGATTTCTAGGTGAAAACAAGTGATTCTTAGAAGATAACAAGCATATGGAGTAGTTACTTACTGTAAGAGGCTTGGAATGAGGTTTTTAGCCACCAATAACTAGTGTGTGTTCTTGGTGTTCTTGGTGAGAGAGAAAATCTAGACAAAGATGAGATTTAATGAGATAGGAACATGGATTTACCACTAGGTAGAGGAATGAAGCAACAATTAGAGGTGAAAAACACTTACAACTTGAAGATCTTGAAGAATTTTCGATGAAGGTAGAGAGAGAGAGTAGAGAGAGAAAGCCTTTAGAGTGTGTAGAGTGTGAAATGAAGGCCACTCATCCCTTATATAGGGGTGAGTTTCCGGCCAAAGGGGTGGTGGGGGTTTACGGCCGTGAACAGGGTTTACGGTCGTAAACAGGGTTTACGGTCGTAAACTGAGTTTGCGGCCGTAAACTCCTCTCGAAGGGGGTGTTTGGCCCGGATGCTATGCTTTGACTTAGAAACCTCGTTTTTGAACCCAAAACTTAATTGGACCGAGCCTAGAATATTTAATTAAGCTCAAAATAATGACGGTAAGAGCAGAAATAAATTCCAAATTGATTTATTTTTAACGATTTGAACGAAAGAAATTTCGGGTTGTCACAATTATTTAGAGAAACAATCATACAATTTAGTAAAAGTTTAATAAATTAAAATTATGATATCCACATAAACATACTCGATTATTGGAGACGTAGCCTTGCTCTCCCATATTGGTTTTGATGTGTCATGAAGGGTATTATCTTCCGTTTGAGAATGATCTTCCGACATTGGTTTGTATCGCCTCTAAAACATAATTTTAAGTCGGCGATAAGAAAAAAAGATATAAAAGTATAACACAACTTCAAGCATTCGAGTTAGTTATATTTCAAGATTGTAAATATAGTAGTTTCAAACATCAAGATCACACAAAATTGACACAATGGAAAAAATTCAAGATTGTAATCAAGTATAAGTTCCAACATATTCTTGGCATTAATTATAGTTTTTTAAACTGTGAAAAGACTTGCATTCAAATCCCAACCAATTGTAATTCAAGATTGTAAATACAGTGGTTTGAAACATCAAGATAGCAACGTTTCACTAGATTCACGTGAATAAATCAAACAACGCCAAAAACAAAATTAAAGAAAGACAAAATAGAAATATGTTCGTTTTTTGTTTACCTGATGCGATAATAGGGGAAAGAGCAATTGATCGAAGTAGCGAACAGGGAGCAGCGATCGAAAGTATCAGGTCGACGTGAACGTGATTTTGTGATACAGCGAAAACGTGATCTGTTGTAGCAATAAGGAATGATATTTTGTCCATTCAAAATGATTTTTAATTATAATGATTTAATATTATGAAAAACAATTATAAATCAATAAACGAAAAACAATTTAATATTTTTGGATATATATGATATTAAAAAACATTAAGAAGTATATATGATATTTAGAGTTTAGATCAGACAAATACGATATTTAATTGTTTAGGAATGGCGTATATGAAATTTTAAGTAACAAACGACAAACTTAGAAACCATATAATTAGAAAAAGTAAAAGACTGCTAATGCAATAATCATACATCAACATATGAACATATAATATTCTCGTAATTAACTCTAACATTTATTTAATAAAACATTACTTTTAAATGTAACATGTCTTTACGGCAATGTCGACAATAGACATAAACACCGGGTTTATTACCTAACCGAGTCTTGCGCAATGTCGACAACATATAACTCCCTTCAAAAAACCGGGTTTGTTACCTAACCGACTCCATTTAATCGTTGAAAATAGTGAGTAGTCAGCTGAACTCGTGATATCCACGGGATCTGATTAAAGGATATTTTATTTCATTCCTTTTTTGCTTCCTCCTGTCCCAAGTCGAATACGTGGGCCAACTCTGTCACGTTCTAGTCCCGTTGGAGGCGTTAATTCAGACGTGTCTTTCACAGCTCTCGTAATTCGTAAACCCTCTCTCTCTCTCTCTCTCTCTCTCTCTCTCGACTCTCGACTCGATACTTCACTTGCACCGAACGAATCCATCCTGATTCCTTTTCCCCCCAATTTCTTCCTTCCATTTCTCCCGTTGATACCGTTACCAGGATATGGAATAATCAACATCAAAATCAAAATCCAAGTCAGAATCAGCCTCTAAGATGTTGGAGGATCAAGTAGCGCATTTGTTGCAGAGGTATCTCGGCAACTATGTCCGTGGCCTCAGTAAAGAAGCTCTCAAAATCAGCGTCTGGCAGGGTATAAAATCATCATCATCATCATCATCATCATTCTTCTACTTTTTTGTTGATATACTTTTTTCGTTATGATCACTTTACTGACGGACTTTTTAAAAATTTCCTGTGGTCGGTTTTTTTCATGTTTCGTGTGTGTTGTTTGCTTTAGGGTTTATAGGTTTGTGCAGCCGGCCTCAATGTTACTAGTGTTTGTGTTATGTAAAAGGAATATATAATGGATGCTTGTTTGGTAATATGAACAATGCTATTAGTTCCTGAATTTGAAATGATGGTTGCGTTGCTGGCGGTGGTGTGCACATACCGATTATGTCATGAACTGGGAATAGAAATTAGGAATGTTACAGTTCTGTGAGACAGTCCATTAGAATTGCTCAATTGGTTTACTGACTTCAGACGGCTTCTGGCTTGCACTTTAGGCTGGTATGTAGTACTTCCAGTAGGAGTAAGTGGATGACTTTGGGGGCGAGTGATAACTGAATTGATGAGAGCCTGCCTGTTGGTTTAATGGTTTTGGGCCAATAAAACAGTAACATTTGTGTACTGTGAAATACTGAACGTTGTAACCTGCTAAGTGTGTGCCCTATTCATTTTC